GAATGCAGTGTTGGTCGAGTTTCCTTTTCAGGTGTAGGTAAACACACGCATCAGTCACGCTGTGTATTTGCTTTTGCGGTACTGATACGCGCTAGTGAGTGAGTGAGTGAGTGAGTGGGGATAATCAGCAGTTTTTCCTGAAAGGGAAACGTGGTAATAGAAAGAGCTCTCGCGGTCAGACAAGCCGTCATGTAGGATCACGTCACAGGCGGAATCGCCGGCAGTCCGAGTCTGTGGAGAAGGACGTGCGTTCAGCAGCATGAACTGATGTACTCCGTTTAGCTCGGCTGGCTGAGAGACACACTGCTGTACGTGGTGTTGAGGAAGGCGCTGGATTTATCCGAAGTATGCATGGCGTGAAGGTAACGGAATTAGACCGGTTATGATCATCATCATCATCATAACCAGCGTGCTTAACTGCTTATGTTTGGTGCAGGAGGTCAAACACGCCTGCACGCGTTTGTGACACAGCTCTTATCTCTGTGTAGATTATGGACGTCTACAAACAGATAAGATGACAACACTGTCTGGTTTACACCGCATGCTTCTGTGTGTGAGGACAGGCAAGTCCTACTCGCTGGCAAAAAAAATAAATAAAAAAAACCCTGAGTCATCCATGTCCGCAGGTTAGGGAGATAAAACACCAGTCACCTGAGTACACAGAACAACACTGTGATTGAACTATTCCAGTGTAGTAACTGCATGAGTAGGTGTCTGCTGCACCTATCAAGTGTCCCGGCATGACTAAGACAGTGCAGGCCATACAGAACTTCAGCAAAAATGCTTGATTTTGCGGCGCTTTTTTTTCTAAATTTGCGCTTTGATTCGCGGCGTTTTCTATGGGGAAACTACTCATTCTGAAATGACGGAATTGCGACTGCATAAACTTGTTTTGCACTTTCACAGTGACTTTTGTTGGGAAATGAGACCTTCTAACTATACTCGCGTTCGATGCACAGGGTTTTGGCTGAAGGCGCGTTTGGATGACGTCACGTGACGCGGACTCGCTGAATCCTGGAGGGACTGACTGTTTGAGGAGATGAATATAAAAGGCTGGCGTAACCTTCACCGCCTTACGTCGCAACATTTTACATCCTGGTTTACGTTTTAACGAGCTCAAGGGGCGTAAGAACACTTCATACCAAACCTGAAGGCGCAGCTGCTGTTTCTTTGTAACCTATAACATGCTCCTTGTTACCAAAGAGAAAGAGACGTAATAGTGGCTCATCAAGTCGCAGACACACAATGCGGTCGCCCGAAAACGCTACGCGACACCGGTTCTTCTCCTTCATATCAACAGGTGACTCACAGGAGTGCAATGCGGCTCTGTGGAGGAAACCACTCAGCTGTTTTACACCCGCTGCATCGACCTGAAACTAGTAACTGATAGCAATCATTTTTAAAATATTGCAATTGACGGTTTAAAAGGTGGTGCTGTGTAGACGCCTGGTTTTATTATTTTCTTTCACGTATCTATTGGTATTACGGACATCTACATTACAATATACATACGTGGGGAAAAAAAGAAGCCATTTTGCTCCGTCGTGGGTCATTCCATGGGAAACGGCGAGCTGAATCACTCCGTGTAGTAACATGGTACGCTCTCGTGTCCTGTTCTCAAGCAGAAATTCTACTGGATCTCTACCGCCGGAATGTGATCCATATCTGAAGTTTTAGTGTCTACGTGAAAATTCTTTACACTCGAAAGCACATCTCTGCGCTTATAGACTTATTCAAAGATGTAAAGCTAGGCTTTACACGTTCCATGGAAATAAGTCAAGCCTGAATTCCTATCCAAAAGGAAAATCAACATATAGAAACCAAACCCTTACAAAGTCCCATAAAGACAATGGGGAATATCTTCAAAATGTTAGAAAACAAAGATCAATTCAACCTGATAGTAATCCAGCGTCTCAGGCCAATATAGGTGCTGCGAGCTTCAGCATCAGACCGGTGCATCACAGCACTAAACCTGTCTTTAATCCGAGACACGCCTTTACAGCACAGTGCCCTTCATGCGATCGTACATCCTCCACGTGACGTCTCACTGTTTTTAGGCGTCACCTAACAAGAGTTTCAGACGCAATCAAACCAGCTGTGTAACGCATAAGGCGTAAAACACTCCAGGTCATGCTGTTATAGGAAAATAATCAATGACAGCCTGGTGAGATGCAGCCCGACAGTAAAGGAGTTACCGTTACCACCCCGAAGCGGTTACCTACCGAGAACATCATGCCCCGAAGTGTTTTATTCAGGTGGAACTTAGACAATTAGAGTGCTACCAACACCATGCTTTACGTCAACAAGGCTTCAATAATATCTCCGACTTCCTTTCCAAGCTTCGCTTTTTCCACATAATGTCTCTATACACACTTCATGAGAGATCATACCCGTCATATGATATGACATGAAACCATGACATCAGACCACAAGCGCAACACAGCACCGCGTCTAATCTGCGGATTCTCCCACGCCCATTAGGTATGCCTAATTCACACGGAACTGAGAGGATCTCGATGATTAAAATGGGTCACTCGCTGCCGTCACGGATATCTTCCCACGCGCGTAGACAACTAACGATCCTCTGCTGCTTTGTGCGCTTGCTAGCATGGACGTCGATGCAGTGGTCACCAAGCCTGTTCCTGAAGCGCCAACCATACTTGTGCCCACCAGCGCCTTGAGCAGTTCTCGATCGGCGAAGACAGGCGAAACCCGGTGGGAGCTAGGTCTCAAGGCAGGAGGATTGGCGACCACTGACATAGGGTCAATGGAACCCAATTTGACCATTCGAACATCTAGAGATCTGAATCCGTACAGTGAAGTATGAACGCTAAATCCAGATTAAGACGCCTTCACATGCATTAATGACCAATGACGAGAGAGAGAGAGAGAGAGAGAGAGAGAGAGGGTGGGTGGTTGTTGTTTTTTTACAACTTAAATCCAGTGTTATAAGTAAAGTTGCACGGGTTTGACTGTGAACGTGATTCCACCATCAGTGCACGTGCAGGGCTTGCAACATTACCCCCCACCCCCAGCAGGTGATGTGTCAGTTACCTGTCAGCTATCGTGGACTGTGAGCCACTCATTGGGCTTCCGTTTCTGGCTTCTTTTTCCTTCAGCTTTTATCCAACTAGCATTTTACCAAGGTAAAACACTCGTGTGTGATCCAAAAGATGAACTCTGAAAGGTATTTATTATCCCCCCCCAAAAAAAAAAAAAAAAAAGGAGGGGGGAGGGGGCAAAAAAAAAGTCTGTGACGAAGGGCGAATGGAAAAACTATGCTAAGCTAACTTCAATGTACATGAGGCGAGGATCTGTGGCGGGCTCGTGGAGTGTGTCATTTGTGAGGAAATGACCGCCGGAAACCCCTCCAGAAGTCCTCTAGAAGCTCGGACTGGTTGGAGAAATGTTTTGAAGAAATGGAGCATACTCGTATTAAGCTTTTCAAGCGAATGCCTCAGTATTACACGAGTCCCTGTTTAAGGTCGAGTCCAAGCTTGCGGGGGGAAAAAACCCGACTATTTGGTTTGTCTTCACCCATTAAACCGTGGTTTTATTATTATTTTTTTAAAATGTCTAAATAACCGTCTGAAATGTTTATCCCGAACAGCGTGTTGTTTCCCCTCCCGGTAATGTCGTCCTCTAGGTGGCGTGAACGCTCACTTCACGCTGTGGGAAAAGAAAACAACGTGTCGTGTCGTGAGCGTTAACACAGGAGAAGGGGAAATCAATCCGATCCAATTCCGAAATAAAAGTTGTTTCAGGCCTCGGCTTGGTTTAACTGAGCAGCATGGCGCTTCTCCTCCGCGGTTGTATTCCTTGTAGCTCTGGAGGATACAATGCGGATTCCAAACATCCGCCGCGCCGAAGGTTTCATCGGAACTCCGTCTAAAGAAGATACAAATTTCACGGAACTTTCTTCTTCTTCTCCTCTCGAACTTTCGAAGGCTTTGATGTTAAACACGGCACGCCAAAAACACGACTTCGTGGAGAGGGGGGGAGACTGTTTAGAAAATGTTCCTGAAACACTGGAACATCTCCCACCGAATAACACACTAAACAATCCAGTGGGGTTTTTTTTTCTCCACCGTATTCCGAAGCTCTAAACGTGGGGTTTAGTCATTTTAGTCCGCTCCTTCTCGTCCTTGTCTCCATGTTGTTGTTTTTGTATTTTTATTTATTTTTTTTGTTTGTTTGTTTTTTCAGAAATTCTGTAGTTTTTCCTTCTTCTCCTGCACTGTTTTAGGAATTCTAGCGCCTTGAAACGCAAAGAAGGAGCTCCCGCAGATGATGCCACGCGAGACCAATTCCCGTGGGGGGGAAAAAGAAATAGTCCGATTAAAATCCCGCAAAGTAATCTGTAAAAATCCACAGAGTCGCAGACTTTCGGCAAAATTAGATCCTGCGGATTCCTGCGCTCTGGAAACGAACCACTCCCTCGGCTTTCTTTTTCTTTTTTTTTTTTTCTTCTTTTTTTTTTTTTTTTTTAAGAGGGGGAGGAGGAGGAGGAGGGGGAGTTGGAGTGGAAATCCTTCCGCAGCTGCCCATGTGTGCTGTTAGTCCCTCTGCTCATTCGATATTCAAAAACTTTACTCTCATACACCAGCTGATCTTTTTCGGCTGTTTGATTATAATTCTATTTTATTGAGTTGACTCGATCGTTTTTATTCTACTCATCCTTGTCAACCCCGCTTTATTGATTGATTGATTGTTCATTACATTTTATAACAGCTACATTTGCATGAGCGAATAGAAATAGACTGAAAGATTTCCCTCTGGAGACTTTTTGAAGGGTTCCTAAAATGGTTCTACTTGTTTGGAACCTTGCCTGAGAGAACAAGCAGACGACGTTATTCGTCACACATGCATTAGAGCACAGTGAAATTCTTTTCTTCACACATCCCAAGTTGTTAGGAAGCTGGGGTCAGCCATGATAGAGAACAACCTGGAGAGAGAGGGAGGGTTTAGGGCCTTGCTCAAGGGCCCAACAGTGACATGTATGGCAATGCTAGGGCTTGAACCTGCAACCTTCTGATCAGTAACCAAAAGCCTTAAACCATTGAACCACGACTGCCCAAGACAGGAAGGCCTCCGTTTGAAGATGCTGGGGTTTGAATCCTGGACCTCATACATGCAAAACATGCATCCCCTATCCTCTGACAGGAGAACACTAAGGTTCCTCAAGAGGGCCAATCAAAGCACTATTAAGGGTTATAGTTTATTTGTTTTTCAATACAATGCTAAGTGTATATAATATCCAAACACCCAGAGAACTCTAACAGAGAACTTTTAAGGGTTCCTCCAAAAGGTTAACTAAAGCCGTATTAAGAGTTCTAGATATTATCTGGTTTTCCAGTGTACATGCTATAACTTTGCATTTTCTTGTTGTTTTTCCAATAAAGATAATGTTATAGGGTTCTACACAGGACCCCAAGACGCACAACCAAATAAACATGTCTGGCCTTTTTCTTTTTTTTTTTTTTTTTTTTTTTTTTAAGTCTAAGAGTAAATAAACTATCGCACCAACACTCTTTTTTCTGAAATACATTATTACTGGACAAAGATATCACATTGGTGCTTTATTTTTATTTTATTTTACTATTTTATTTATTTTATTATATTTTTCTAGTTTATTTTCATGAGATTACTGCCACCTGCTGGTTTCCTTAGTGTAGCGTTACTCTTATAACAAATAGGGGCGTTCACAAATTAAATGATTATCAGCCTGAATAAGTGTGTGTGTGTGTGTGTGTGTGTGTGTGATGTTTCCATTCGAGGTTTTAACTCGAGTAAGTTGGCAAAAACGTTTGATGGAATTGTCAGCTAGAACATAAAATTATGTGTAGTCTGCTCGTGGTCCTCTATATTTTTTAATACATGTTTGCTGTTGATATTTATGTTAAATGTTCTCCTCATATATTTACTTATATATATTCATCATTATGTAGCATACACATCATAACGACCATGTCCCTGTATAGTGTGTGAGAGAGAGAGAGAGACCCAAAACGGAAGTGACGCATATATTTGGCTATCTGCTCGTGGCTAATGGGAATAGCGTTTTTGTTTAGTTGTTTGTTTGTTTTGCAAGACTTGGTTTATTTCACAACATGTAACAACACGAGCAGCTTCACAACAACTGTAGGCTAAATTTGTTTGTTGAAAAATGCATATGTAATAGTTTACTTCTAGACAGCTCTCAACCTTATGTTTTTAATAAGTATCTATAGTTATACATCTACATAAGCATTTTGGATGAAGTACTCAGGTCCTGTGATGCTACAGTGAAGGTTGTTGCTCTTTGCTATGAACAGCCTTTATTTCAAGTCATAAACAAAATTTAAAATGTTCCCTCTATTGTCCACTTGCTTTAGCTTGTTATTTCAGTACTCGAGTATGTCCATTAGCATTATTAAGTTTCTTCTGTTCCTGCCATCGTCTGTACTTGCCGCAGGTTTTCCGACAAGCAAAGCAGGCAATGTCCACCATGAAGACGCAAGAGAGGGCGTAGATGGCTACCCCGCCTACCTTCATGACCAGTTTGGGTTTTGGAGACGCCAGCTCACAGTAGAGCATGCGGCCGCCGACGCCGATCCGCACACAGGCGAAGAGTGTGATGAAGAGGAGGTCGACGATGTCACCGCTCAGGCTGTCGTAGCGGCCCATCTGTTTGAGGAACCATCGGGCCTGCAGGAGTGGATTGGTGATTTCACTGCCGAAGAGCACCGCGCATGCCTCGATGCCTGATTCACCCATTCCCAGAGCGCACACAATGCCCAGGATGCTTAGGGTATGATGGGCCAGCATTACAGGACCCTCTGTACGGAAGTACACACACCAGGCCATGTCAAAGAGGAAGTAGCCCAGACTGAGGAGCAGGGCTAGTATCTGGAGTGGGGTGTTTTCTGAGCCTGGAGATGAGAGGAAGCAAAAAATACAGCCTGAGGATACATCCTGATCGCTTGAGTGGAGACAGTTTGACGTTGCCGTGCTAAACATTGTTGGACGTTTGCCATGAAAATCTGATCTCTATTAGTTTCTGAATTTGGTGATGAATGGATCAAGATTTCTTGAAACAATTGAAACTAATTTCTTTCTTTCATCTTGTTCAGTGTCATGGTAGATCCTGGACCTATCCTGGGAACACTGGTCACAAGGCAAGAATGTGCCTTGGATGGAATGCCAGTCCATCGCAAGGGGCCACACACACACATTCCCACATCCATTCAGATGTAGAGAACAATTTAGCATAACCAATCACCTACCAGAAAGTGGGAGGACACTGGAGAACCTGGTCTAAACCTGTAGGGATATGGGAAAACGTTAGAAACACCAAATGGATAGTAACCCAAGCTCAGGAACCAAGTACCCTGGAGTTGTGAGGTGGCAGTGCTACCTACTGCACCACCACGCTATCTAGGTGAAACTGTGGTTTGTTCTGGGTGAACCATTAAATATTCCATATATTACACTAAAGGGTTTCAGGAATGTTTTGGGTAAAACATCTTTAGAAAGCGAGAATTATTAACCAACCAAAAATCCTTTTCTAAGTGTGTACCACATCAATTTGGCAGCAGTGTAAAGTTAAGGATCACTGAATTCCAGTTCAATTATTCTTCTGATCACTCACCGACATCCGTGAATGGCCATGGCCCATCAACAAACCCGATGTAAGCAGTTAGCAAGACTATGAGGACCCCGTGGATCAGGGTGATGAGTCTGCAGTTCCATTCTGCATTTCGCTTTCTGTTCACGTCACACAGCAGAATATACAGAAAAAGCCAGCCAATAAGGCTACAGCTTGTCTCAACTAGAAATAACGTCATGGCTGAGCTAAAGTGATAAAAAACGTACTTTTATGAGATACCATTAGCTTGTCTGTTCCACAAGCAAGTCTATTCTTTTCAATTAGCTTATACACTAGTTTGAAGACATCTCCTCAAAGCTCATAATCCACAGGTTTTACCTCAGCCTTCACAAAATCCCACCTTCTGCTGCATCAGGCATTTAGGCATTGCCTCTCTCCTCCAAACAGACACTTCCTGTCCTCAATAACCTTCACTGGCTCTATGCTGGAGGCCTGTCTCCTCAGACAAGAGTACTATTATTACATCTTAATATTTTCCATGACGGCTCCAAACTACAATCTCGTTTCCTCACTTGCTTCTCCCCGAGTACAAGTATCCTGAGCCTCTTAAAAGATTAGCGTCACAGTAGTCGAGCGCCAAACAAGATGGAGCCACTCAACCACCGTCCCAATGGCCTCAGAGGTCAGAGGAGGAAACCAGCGTGATGTCTTATATCCTCCAACATATGATCACCCCATGTCGCTGAGCGAGAAGAGTGAATGGAATCTGAAGTGACGCGAAAGCATACAGCATTTGTAAGAATTCCCACAAGCAAAGATGTGTGAAATGGTTATGGTTAGGGTAAAGAACAGAGTTCGGGCTTGTAACTGCATTTCCAACCAATTGTTTAAAATTTCCACACATTTGCTATGAGATCGGTTCGAGACATCCCATCGTAAGACACGAATTCATGGATGAACCCAGAGTTGGATGGTGAAGTCTAAATGAAAATGTCATCTACATTTTTTTTTTTCATTTTTAAAATGGTAGATCATCAATTCTTTTAGATATTCCAGAAAACAAATTGTTTAGATTTTCTTATTTAAACTCTTGTAATGTGTGTGAGCCTTAGATGGGGGAAGGTTTCTGAGCTGCAGAATTAACTCATGTCTATCTTATCCACAGAAGGGTTATGACCCTGGATATAGTAAGGACTGGACTACTGGGAGCCTAAATAAAGGCTGGTTTTGTTTATTTTGGTCAAAATCTTACAAGAACATCGTAGCTTACATTAAATTATATGCATTAATTAGAAGATAGCCTGTTTATTATTGTTATTAATGTAGTGCACTACAGAAGGTGTAACAAACATAATTAATACTCTATATAGTGTACCTATATAGGAGTCACCAGTTGGTCCGTCCACCTGCAGTGAGCATTAGTGTTGTTGTTGTTGTTTTAACAGTACAGGTGCATGTCAAAACACATTTCTATACTTACCGTATTCTAATATTTTGAGATATTAGAATAACCAGAAGTACTGGATTTTTGATTTCCATGAGCTGTAAGCTGTAATCATCGAGATTAAAACAAAAAAGGCTTGAAATATTTCACTTCATGTGTAATGAAGCTACAATATATCAAAGTTCCACGATATGATTTTTTTTTTTTTTTTAGATGTATCTGTACATGCAGTAGTTAAGGACAGGGGTGTACACATTCAAGAGCAACAACGCCCCCTGTCGCAGTAGATCCAGAGGTGCATGCAATTCATTCATTCAGTCATTTACTGTCTCACTCATTCATTTAATTATTTGATTGTTTTTTTAATTAATTTATTCCTTAATCATGTTTCAAAGCTTTTTTTTATTGAAGATGTCAGTAAGACGTGAAAAGTTATATATATATATATATATATATATATATATATATATATATATATATATATATATATATATATATATATATATATATATATATATATATATATGTCTACATATATATAAAATGCAATAAAAACCTCTGTTGTATAGTATATGCTTGCCTCGCACCTCCGGGTTTGGGGGATCGATTCCCACCTCCGCTCTGTGTGCATGGAGTTTGCATGCACACAGAGCGTTCTCCTCATGCTTTGGGGGTTTCCCCTGGGGTACTCCTGTTTCCTTTCACAGTCCAAAGACATGCACTGTAGACTGATTGGCATTTCCAAATAGGCTGTAGTGTGTGAACGGGTGTGTGTGTGTGTGTGTGTGTGCGATCAAGCCCTGTTATGGGTTGGCACCCCATTCAGGGTGTCCCACGGAATAGGCTGCAGGCTCTCAACGATCCTGTGTAGGTTAAGCGGTATGGAAAATGGATGGATGGACATGATTGGTGGCCAAACAGTACCCACATGGTGTTTAGATTTGTATATTATTGGTAGTCGTATGTTGTGTGTGTTAGTTTTATATATATATATATATATATATATGTAGTTGTATATTATTGGTAAATAGTATAAACGACCC